AAGTAGAGCTTGTGAACTGCTCAAATTCTCTGTATCTTTACTGAATTAAAAAATTGTCTACTTGATTTGTAAAACTCAAGGAAAGGTGTAATAAAGTCTTCTACAAGAATTTTGTTTCTTTTTAGCAGTGTGTGCAGATGTTTTACTTTTGAGAACACAATGGTACATTATATGTTCTACACAGAATATAACTTTAATTAGTGTAAAAAGAAATTGGGACTCTTTCCATTTACTATCCTTTTGCTTTAGGTTCTATTTTTGCAGTATTAATACTGCCACACCTTCTGCTCCAAAACGGTCAACCAAGCTAATACCTGAGCCTGGCAAGCCCAGGATTACAGCAGCAAACAGCTCGGGTCTCCAGGAGCGGGGAGGGGCCCGGCCTTGGGAATCCGGTCTGCTGCCACCACCAGGCGTCCTCCTGATCGGACACTATTGGCTCCCTTGTGCCCTGGAACATCTTGGAATTAATCAGATTCATGTTTGAGTGATGCCAGATTTTTAATAGAAAAAGAGATTCGTTACAAAAAAAAAATACTGCCACCCAGCACTCTTTTTGTCTTCATTTTCCTGTCTCTTTACTCTCAGCCTTCTGGGCTAATTGTCTTAGCTGTGTCCCTGTAAACAACATATACCTAGATTTAATGTGTTTTCTGATTATGAGAGTCCTTGTTCTTTAACAGGGGAACTTAACTTATTTACATTTATTATGATGACCCACGTGCTTGGTCTTATTTTGTGTTCTGATTAATACACTGATTTATTGTTTCCTTTTTAAATTCTTTTCTGGGCCAATTAGGTTTTCTTCTTTCTTCTCTCCACTTCTAGTTTCCTCCTTTATTTTATACTAATAGTTATCATTAACTAGTGATAAAAACCTTTAAATCTACATCTTATCAAAAACTAAACATTTCTCCAACGTCCCCCTCCCTGAATCAAACAAGATCTTTGGCACATTTTATTTCCTCTGACTCACCACGAAGTTTGTTGAAATAGTCTAGAATTTCATTTCCAGATAATTAATTTTCTTCCTTAACCATGTGTCTTTTCTATTCCAGAAATCCTTTCCAAACAATTGCATTTACTTCACAACCACCTTCAAATAATCATTTAGACTTGATTAATCTGTTTTGCTCATTTTGTACCACTGTTTCTTATGGGTGTGTCTTCCTTCATTTTGAGTCCTTGAATCTTACCAATCTTGTCTGGAGTCAAAAGCTTGGATTTGGAAGGTAATCTCAGTCCTGCCACTTACCTATTGTTCTTACCTGTCAAATTTCTTAACCTCTCTGTGCCTTAATTACCTCAAAGGAAATAATAATAGAACCCACCTTCCACGGGGAGACTCAATGGAATAAGACAGTGAATGAATGGGTGGACAAATGAAGGATGTGGGTTTCCTTCCTCCTGTCTCTTAGGAAGCTCTCACCACTAATCTTTTCACTCCCTGTGCACATTCTCTTTCTCGTCCTCTGTGGTTCACTTCTCTGTCTCTGTTGTCAGTCTTCCTTAGCCTGGAAACCGGTTCAAGTCTCTTCCACATTAAGAAAAAAACCTTTGCTATCACCCTGTGCCCTTCTCTTGTCTCTTGACTCTTTCCTTTCGTATCTAAGCTTCTAGAAAGAGTGAAACATGTCATGTTTACACCCCCTCATTTGCTACCAATCCGCTGGCATCTGGCCTCCCACCAACTCCTCCACTTAGGGTGTTCTCAGTAACGGTCCCTGGTGAACACTATGTCTTCTGCTTCATGCAGCAACATGGCAGGATTGAGGCACAGGATGACCCTGAGGAGTGCTGTCCAGCAGGGGCACAGACAGCCTGGGGGAAAAGCCTGGGGCTTGCAGTAGATAGCTCATAAATACGCGTCCCCTGAATGTCTGTGTGATGTGAATGAGATGGGGGCTGGGGAGGCTTCCTGGAGGAGGAGGCACCACAGCTGAGTCTGCATGGGGGTGGGATGGAAAAGCATTCGAAGCAAAGGGAATAACATGGGGAAAGGCCAGGAAATGGGAGGCAGCAGTGTTCTGGAAGCCCCAAGTGGAGGTACATGTGGGCCTGTGCAGTGTGTGTGGGGACATCAGGGAGGGACTCACAGGGGCATTATCCCCAGCCCTTGCTCTGTTCCTGTAGTCCAAGCCCCTGCTGACATCTCTCCTGTAGCTGTTCCCTCAACTTCCACACACTGTGCCTGTTTCCTTCTACTTCTCTGGCTCTCTCACTTAGAATCCCCCAAGATCTCTCTCCTCCCCAACTCTAGGTTGGGGTCCCCTGCCTATGGAGTCTTCCACCTCCCCCAGGTGCGCTCATCCTCCCTTCCAGCTTTACACCTCACCTCCAGCTGTATTCTGGGCACCTTCTCAAGTAGCCTTGGCACCACCTGTCCAGAACCCACTCCTCACCTTTCCCTCCACATCCTTCCTCCCCTGGGGCATCCCTCCACCCAGCAAACAGCCTCTCCACCCATTCTAGCACCCAACCCCCAGGCAGGGCAGCATCTGAGTTTTCTTCTTCTCCCACTTAGCCTCCAGCCAGTCCTGAGGCTCTTTCCCACTTGGACAGTGCAACAGGGGCTTTACCTACGTGAGTCTGGGGATCCCCTTCCTGTAACTGCTCAGCCTCTGTCCAGGCTCTGGGTGAGGAATTCAATTGGCCAGCATGGGTCAGGTATCCACTCATGGCCCAATGGTGGAAAAACTTTATTATTTCTTCATTATTTTAGAAGTTGAGATATAATTCACATACCATAAAATTCGCTCTTCAAAGAGCACAGTTTAGTGATTTTAGTATATTTATAAGGTGTACAACCATCACCACTAATTCCAGAACATTCTCAACATCCCCAAAAGGAACCCCACACCCATTGGCAGTTACTCCCCATTCCCCCTCCTCCCAGCCCCGGGAACCACTAATCTACTTCCTGTCTTTATGGATTTGCCTATTTTGGACATTTTAAAATAAATGGAATCATATAGTATGTGATCCTTTATGTCTGGCTTCTAGCATGTTTTTCAGGGTCCATGCATGTTGTTTGACTTGGAGTCTTCCCACCACTTGCGTTAGTTTCACAATTAAATCCTGTGCACACAGAGGGACAAAATCTCTCCGGGTAGAGTCACAGCACCTAGTACTTCGCTAGGTGAAAAGAGCCGGCAAGCTGCGGCCAGACCGGGAGGATGCAGAGCGCAGCCTTCACCTGCCCAGGTGAGGCCCACCTCGGACCTTGTCACCTCTGTGACAGCGGGGACACCTCGCCGGCGCTCTGGTGGAACTTCACGAGAGGATGCAATGAGTGTTTATTGAGTGCCTACTGTGTAACCAGGTGCTCGGCAAACTACGGTGGTGGAGAGGGACAGAGGTGCTAGATGAGGCTTAGTGCGGGTAGCGGGTGCTCTGAGGTCAGGGTAGTTAGCGCTGCTGCTTGCAGTGTGTGACTGCTCTAGCTTTGAGGACTGAGAGACGTCGTCCCGGAGGGAAGACAGAAGAGCGCCGAGCGAGGACCACCGCTACTAAGGTGAGCGGAGCTCGCAACCAGGTTTAGAGCCCAGTGGGAGGAGCCGAGCTACCGATGCCCCACCCACCTTGCCCCACCCCCTCATGCGAGCGGCCACACTGCAGAGGGAAGGGCGGAGCCTCACGACGCCCCGCCCCTGGTGCCTGCCCCGCGCCGCGCCCGAAACT